GGATGAAATAACAACACACACTGAGCCAAGGATCTGCCTTTAACTAGAGGACTCATATAATGTTGTTTTATGCAGACTACTTGATATTGTAAAGGCATTGATGAAATGGGTCATTTGTACTCACTCTACACCCATATTAGCCTGAGGTTTACATCCAATTCCGCTGAAAAAAAAATTCAGAATTCCTGGTTATTGCCTCTATCAGAAGATGATTTATAGAGATTTAGTGAAATTCTGTGTTCATGATATTTTATGTCCCGTTTGCTGGCATTTTGGGATCAACTTTTGCTATTCTGTCCATTTTTTTTCACAAAAGCAGGCTCTGCTTATTAAACTTGATGATGAATTCTCAGGCCATGTTGGAGTAAGGATCAGTGCAAATGTGAGGAATGGTCCTTTCAGTTTACAATCAAAGTTCTGATCAGATGCTGTATTTTACTGGATAATACCTGTGGTGCATCAAAATCTATCTTTTCTGTGTGTTTTCTTTCACTGTGCATGCTACTTTACCTGACAAATTGGCAGAAACAAATGTGCAATAAATCCCAAAGGAAACATCCAGTCAAATCTCTGCTGTCTTTCGAGGCATAGTCTAAATCTCAAAATTGTGAAATGTTTCAGAACAACAGACAAACATCTCTTGTTGCTGCTTCTTTTATGTTTTCTCTTTTCTCCAGTTTTCAAACGGACACCAGGCACATTCCATTAAGCTTCTGCCTCTATTGTCTTTGTCCTGACAGATTTAAGATTTGGGACATTGAAAAACTCAGAGTTTTGAACCCTGGATCATTTATGTTGACAGTCATCATGTAGTCAACCAGCTCATCATGCAGTGAGGTGAAGGAAGTTTCAGAGAGAAGGGAAGCTGTACAGAACTGGGCAACTAATCATCTCTTACTTAAATGACTTGCCTTCATTGCTCAGATCTTTGAGTAAAGGAGTTGGGACTCAAGCTGAGCTTGTGCAGGACGTTGGTGAGGCCTTTTCTGGAGTACTATATCCAGTTCTGGGCTTCCTGTTATAGAAGGGATATCATTAAGCTGGAGAGAGTTCAGACGAGATTTACCAGAATGTTGCAGGGAATGGAAGGTTTGAGTTATAAGGAGAGGCTGTCTAGGCTGGGACTTTTCTCACTGGAGCGTAGGAAGTTAAGAGGTGACTTTATAGAGGTTTATAAAATCATGAGAGGTATAGATAAGGTGAATGGCAGGTATCTTTTCCCTAAGCTGGGGATTTCAAGGCTAAGGGCATATTTTTAAGGTGAGAGGAGAAAGACTTAAAAAAGACATGGGGACAATTTTTTTACACAGAGAGTGGTTTGTGGAAGTGGTGTACAGTTACAATGTTTTAAAGACAGTTAGATAAGTATATGAATAAGAAATGTTTGGAGGGATATAGGCAAAGCACAGGCAAGTAGGACTAGCATAGTTTCAGGTTATGGTTGGCATGGACTGATTGGGCCGAAGAATCTGTTTCAGTGCTGTATGACTCTATGATGAGAAGCTAAACTGTTCCTAAGAGGGTATCATTATCTAAATAACCTCAATTGCATGTTCTGTAAAATACCTTCAATCTTTCCCAGAAATTAAACTTGCTAAATCACTTTAAATGCTATCCAATTTGCTGTTTTTATGTGTGTAATATTAAATGCAAAGTATTTTAATCATTTCAAACAAAACTTTTTCTAATTTCTTTAACAACCATGTGTTTTTAAATAAGTATTCATAGCAAATCCTCAGTAAGGAGCCTCCCATTATCCTTTTCATGCTGGGGGACAAGTACAATTACTAGTACAAGAACATAACAGAGCATTTACAATAAAGGCTAAAGCCCCAATTTCTCCGGCATTGCAAATTTGAGGTTGTGGCGATGGAAAAAGCTCCCTCTAATCATCTCAATCCACGTGCAGTAAAATTTGTTGCGTGTAGAAGTAGCAAGGTCAAAGAGCAAGGAGAGTGGGAGACAGAGAGTTGTGTGAGCAGGGAGGGGACGGTTGCAGAGAGCAGGGTAGTGTTTGGGGGTGGGACAGAGTTATGAGTCCAAGAAGAGTAAGAATGCATGTTTAGTATTTAGTACCATATAGCCACACAAGTTTGAAATTTATCAGAAATGACTCAATACTTTATCAGAATTACAGTATGAAACAACAGAATAAAAACAAGAGAAGAATCAGTACAATTGTTACTGCTAATTTACTGCCATATAATGGACCAGAATACACACTCACATATTGAAATGTACTACATTAATAATTTGATCCTGTGAAAGCATTAAATCTCAGACCTATACATCTCATCAATTAAATGACATAATTCCATGATCATCGATGCAATAATGTAAAGTGGATTGGGATTCATGTTTAATTCATTGGACTTGGATAATTACACTAGAATATTTATTCTGAGCTGCTGTCTTATACTATATGGTATGTAGCCTTGTTCTGATCTATCACCTTTTCATTTGTACATTTGTTGCAATTTCAGACAACCGTCCCCCCACAACCACCACCACTCTTTCCCACGGTTTCTTTCTATGCAAGTGCAGGAAATGTTATAGCTGAGTGTCATGATGTCATAGAGATAAACAGCAGCCCAACTTGCCTATGCCGCCCAGTTTTCACAATTAAGCTAGTCCCATTTGCCTGCATTTGGTGCATATCTACCCCATCCATCTACCTGTCTAAATGTTTCTTAAATGACAAAATTGCACTCGCTTCCACCACTACCTGTGGCAGCCTGTTCTAGACACTCACCACCCTCTGCGAGGGGTAAGGAGTAAACGATAGGTAGGGATACAGCCCAAAGAGAGAGAAGAACAATTGGACAGATAAAGGAGTGGATAATGATCTGGCCATGAGGGTGAATAGCTATTAATGGGGATTGTTAGTAGCTAACAGTGGGTAGTATGCAATAGCAGACTATGTGATAACAAGGCCTGGTGTCTTGGGGTTTGGTTAAGGACATGGGAGAGCTCAAGCCCAAAAGTTGTTGAACTCAAAATTGAGTCCAGAAGGCTGCAGGGCTCCAAAGTGGAAACTGAGGTGTTGTTCTTACAGTTTGCGCTGAACTTTGCTGTAGCAACCCTGAGAGAAAGAGATTGGCCAGGGAACAGGATGATGTGTTGAAATGGCAACTTGAAGCTCAGGGCCCTTTTTTCAGTCAGAATGTAGGTATTCTGCGAAGGGGTCACCCAGTCTGTGCTTTGTTTCCCCAATTTAGGGAAGACCACACTTTGAGCAGCGAATGCATTAAACCAGATTGTATGAAGTGCAGATTAAATGGTACTTCATGCTATGTTTGGGCCCTTGGTTACTGAAGAGGGATGAAGTAAGCAGGCAGGTGTTACACCTTTTGCAGTTGCAGGGGAAGGTGCTGTAGGCTCTAGGGGGGTGATGTTGGGAGTGAAGGAAGAGTAGACCAGGGTGTCCCACAGAGACAGGTCCCTGCAAAAGTCTGACAAGGGAGGGGAGGGGAATATATGTCTGATTGTAGCATCTCACTGAAGGTGGCGGAAATGGCAGCTACTGATCCTCTGAATGTGAATGCCTGTGTGATGGTAGGTAAGGACAAGGAGGGCCCTATCACTGTTGCAGGAGGGAGGACAAGGGTTGAGGGCTGAAGTGTGGGAGATGAGTTGGACCCAGCTGAGGGCCCTGTCAATTATGATGCTGGGGAATCCTCGGTTTAGGAAGAAACTGGACATTTCGGAGGCCCCCTTGTTGAAGTTGGCCTCATCCGAACACATGCAACGGAGACTGAGGAACCAGTCGAATGGAATAAAGTCCTTACAGGAAGCAAGGTATGAGGATGTATAGTCAAGGTAACTGTGGGAGTTGGTGGGATTGTAGTGGACATCTATGATCTTGAGGGGTCTTCACAGTGAGAATATGGAGTGGATGTTTCTTCTTATGGGAGAACTAAAACTGGGGCTTTCTGTTTAAAATAAGGCTTCACCATTTAAGACAGAGATTAGAAGAATCTATCTTTTCTTTCAGAAGGTCGTGAGTGTTTGTAACTGTTTTCCTCAAAGCTGGTGGAGGTGGGCTCCTTGAATATTTTAAAGGCTGAGACAGATAGACTCATGAGAAGCAAGGAGGTAAAAGATTATTGAAGATAGGCTGGAGTGTGAAATAATCAGATCAGGAATGATCTTATTGCATGGTAAACCAGGCTTGAAGAGTCAAATGACCTACTCCTGCTCCTAATTCACATGTCACTGTTACTATGAGGCTGGTATAGACGGAGAAAGGGTAAGCACAGGGCCCTAGTGATGTTTGACTACGGTAAATGGAGTAAGGATCAAAATACCATATATGAAGCCATCCAGGACTGTAGAGTGTGCGGTTCATTGGAAAGACAAGCTTTCGAGTATAAAACTACATGTCTGGCTCCCCTTGCCAGGAGAAGAATAACTGTTGAAACAGTGAAAAGAACATCACAGAGAGTTCAGTCCCTTCAGAAAGTAAAGAGGCAAGGAGTGATGAAAATGTACTGGAATTTCTGATAGAAATGGTCAGTGATGGAAAATCAGGTAGAAAGTGAGGATCCTGTAGTAATAGGAACTAGAGGTGTTCACAAGAACAGAAGTCTGGAATAAATTTGATTAAGTTTCCTGTCAATTTTCATGGAAAAAAATGTAGCAAGGAAGAATGAGAATAATTCCAAAGCTTCTGTTTTGAAAATGGGATCATCAAGGTCCATTTCATGGAGATGTAAAGCCATCCATTATATTCTTGTTGGTCTCTAATTGTAGTTGTCCTCCAGCATGAAAAGGATAATGGGAGGTGCCTCAATGAGGATTGCTAATTGGCTTATTTCAAAACCTTAATTGTTCAAAAAAGTTACAACGAGGTTGGGTTTAATACTATAATATTGGGATACTTAACTTGGTTATTTGATATGCTTTTGTTCTTAACTAGCTTGTAAAATTGTGGGAATGGCTGGTGGCAATCATTAAACATTTTGTATTAGTTGATTTTCCAAAATATCGTCCTCCACAAGGAACTGAATAAAAAGCTGGTTGTCAACGTATCTCCTCAGTCACTTGTTGTAGAGCGAGTGAAAGATGGCAGGTATCTGGATCTGTGTGTGCGCCCTTCTTTCTGCTGCTTTCTTCACCTCAACCTCAGCAACAACTTACAAAGAGGATCTTCTTGGTCTGCCTGTCGACGTGGATGTGACCAATATACATGTTCAAAAAGCTGTTGAATTCTTGAAACAACACTTGTCTCTCACCAGTGGTCAAAAGCTCATAGTGGAGAAAGCTCAAAGACAGGTAACAATGTAGTGGACCTTGCCTACGTCAATTATGAATCTATGTCTCTCTGTGTATGTTCACCCCTGCTGTGTGGCAATGTTAAATTCCAGGGACTTTGCTTAACCTCTTTAATAAGGGTAAGCAGGAGCCAAATTTGAAGTTTCAGTGTCAACCTGCTATGGTGAGTGCCATCTTTAACAATTTACCAACAATTTTCTGAGGTTTATGAAAATGCTTTGTGGAGAGCTATGACACTTTGGTCACTGCCACCTCAGCGAAAGATTTTCACTGAGACCAGAATTCTCCAGAGCTGAAAAAAGTCAATTGGACACCATAAAAAGTCTGGTAGGCTGAATGTAGTAATACGCTGATTCAGATACTCTACATTGGTGTATCATGATAAAGCACAAAGCCAGCATGAATTCATAGAATCCCTACAGTGCGGAAACAGGCCCTTCGGCCCAACAAGTCCACACCGACCCTCAGAGGGTCCCACCCAGACCCATCCCCCTATAACCCACACATCCCTGAACTCTACAGGCAATTTAGCATGGCCAATCCACCTAGCCTGCACATCTTTGGACTGTGGGAGGAAACCAGGGCACCCAGAGGAAACCCACACAGACACGGGGAGAATGTGCAAACTCCACAAAGACAGTCACCAGAGGGTGGAATTGAACCCGGGTCCCTGGCGCTGTGGGACAGCAGTGCTAACTGCTGAGCCACCATGCTGCCTAATTCATTCCCCCTAACAGTCCATATTTTATTAACAGGGTCACTAATTTTCCATCTTCACAGAAAAAGAGCAGAGTAACAAAACACATCGCCCTAAACGCTTGTAAAAACCCAGAAATGATATTTGTTGACTTCATTTACTTATATTTGACTGAATTACTATGCATTAGCCTTTAATTGTTTCATCACTTGAGGATGATACATAACTGCAGCCAAATGGAAATGTTTCCTTCATGGCAGTTGGCCTAAAATCCAGATATAATAGGGCGAGGTTAATGTAGTTGATAAATAAATAAATTGATGTTTTCTCAGTGATAGCACTTTCATCCCTGAATTAGGCAGCTTTCAAACTAACTATTAAAGCAGTACTACAATTTTGAATAAGACGTTAAACCAATTGGCTCTGCCTGGTAATTTAGGTGAGCATAAATGATTAGGAGATATCCTTTAAAGAAATTCTTCAAGAGTCATGACTAATAATTATCTGTCAACTTCAATACAGAGTAGCTCACCATTAATCTCATAGCTGTTTTCTCCTGTGCACAAAATGGCTACTGCACCCGACAACGGTAACCACATTTGAAGTTGCGAAGTGTAATAGCACCATGTTGTTGATATTTGTCTCTTTTATTGGTGTCTCTTTTAATTTTGTTATTCACCAGATATTCTTCTTGATTCTTTATTCTCAAGTCCTGAACACACCAAGTTTGGTTGTACAATTTGGTTCCAATTTTAAAATTCTACCCTCATTTCAAATCCCACTATGGTCTGCTCTGTTCAATCCTTGTAACCTCCAGCCCTACAAGAAACATTCCTCTAATTCTGGCCTGTTGCACATTCAAACCTTTGTTGCCAATGCCTTTAGCCACTAAGTTCCTGAATTCTGGAGCTCCCTTCCCAGAACCCATTGCCCACCACCTTTTAGATGCTGCTTAAAATTAAATCTCTTTGAAGCTTTTGAGCTTTTAACCTAACAGCTTGGTCTTGCATCTGCATCAATTCCTTACTAATAATGTTCCTCTGATGAACATTGGAATAGTTTACTATTTTAAAGGCAATATATAAATACAAGCTATTGTTGTTGTTAGTGAAGACCCGTTATGGGAGGGAAGAGAAGGGGTGGGGGGCTGAAATGTTGGAAATAGGTTGAACACACCTGAGGGTCCTGTCAACCACAGGGATGGCAAATCCTCAGTTGAGGAAAAAATGGGCATTTCTGAAGCATTCCACTCTCCTAAAGCTGGTATCATTAGAACAGATGCAATGGGGATGGAGAAACTCAGAGAAAGGAATAGGGTCTTCACAGGAAGCATGGTGTGAGGATGTATAAGTCCAGGTAACCTTGGGAGTCAGCAGGTTTGTGGTGGATATTCGTGGTCAGCTTATCGCCAGAAATGGAAACAGAGATGTTGAGGAAGGGAAGGGAGGAGTCAGAGATGGACCGGGTGAAGGTGACAGCAGGGTGGAAACTGGAAGCGAAATGGATAAACTTTTCCAGTTCTGGACAAGAGAGGGAAGCAGCAGCATTGATGTCACAAGAAGAAGAGTTGTGGTTGAAGCTCGAGTAGGACTGGAACAAGGAATGTTCCACGTACCCAACAATGTGACAGGCATAACTGGGGCCCATGCGGGTAACCATGGCCACTCCTCTGACCTGAAGAAAGTGAGAGGAGATAGAGGACAAGTTGTTGGGTGAGCTTGGCCAAGTGGAGGAGGGTGGTGGACAGTGGGGATGGTTCAGGCCTGTTTAACAGGAAGAAGTAGAGAGCCCTGAGACCATGTAAAGGGATTGCACATCCAGAAAGAAGAAGAGGCAGCTGGTGCCTGCAAACCGGAAATTTTGAAACTGATGTAAAGCGTCAGAAGAATTCTGGATGTGAGTGGGAAGGGACTGGACAAGGGGAGAAAATGTGGAGTCAAGGTAGGAAGAAATAAGTTCCGTAGGACAGAAACAATGGATCTGTCTGGGTAGCCCTGTTTGTGGATTTTGGGAAGCTGTGTGGGGATGGGGTCCATGGTGGAGGGGAGATCCCCAGAAGAGGTTAGGTGGACATGTGGCCTGATGCTCAATGATGGGGTCAAGGATCAGGGGGAAGTACCTGTAGGAGGAGGTGTCCGAGAGCTGGTGCTGAGCTTGTCCAAGGCTCACCAGACAATATCAGGACCATCCTTGTCAGCAGGACTGTCAGAGCTCTCCCTGGGCTACTAGGAGCTTGTTAAAAAATTTAATGTCACAAAATATTATTGATTCAATGTCTTTCAATGATTAATTTTGTGAAATTGGCTAATGTTCAACATGTTACTGTTATCAGGCAGTTGCCGGATTGAAACTGTGTCTGACCATTAAGATTGAATCGGAGATGCTGAACACCTCGACAGTAAGAAACACTTTATGTTGTTACTAATTACATTAAAGACAATGAATTAGTTTCCTTCTTTAACGTGCAGACAACTTTGACATGCTGGTATTTACATCCTGGCCAAAGTGCATACTTGACACGAGCCATTCTGTTCCCTCAGTCATTTTACTATTATTTTGGAAGTTACTTAATTGGTGTTAAGGAGTACAATGATAATGGGTAAGAACCCAAAGAACTGCAGATGCTGTAATCAGAAAAAAAAAGCAGAAATTGCTGGAAAGGCTCAGTAGGTCTGGCAGCATGGGTGGAGAGAAATCAGAGTTAACGTCTCAGGTCCCGTGACCCTTCCTCAGAACTGAAGGTAGCTAAAAAATAGTTAGTTTTTATTCAGAGGACAGGTTGGGGGGAGGGGATAAGGAGTAAACAATAAGTCGATATAGAACCCACTGAGACAGAAGAACAGTTGGACAGACAAAAGAGTGGATAACAATCAGTCTGGGAATATGATTAGCTACTAATGGGGACAATTAGTGGCTAACAATACATTACGTGTAATGGCAGACTATGTGATAACAAAGCCTGGAGTGTGGGTGTTGGGGTCAAGACATAAGAGAAGGTGCCTCAAACCCTAAAATTGTTGAATTCAACATTGAGTCCAGAAGGCTGTAGAGTTCCAAAGCAGAAAATGAACTGATGTTCTTCCAGTTTGTGCTGAGCTTCGCTGAGGACTGCAGTAAGCCTGAGAGAGAGAGATGTTGGCCAGGGTACGAGATAGTATGTTGAAGTGGCAGGCAATTGGAAGCTCAGGTATTTTTTTGCAGTCACGCAGTCTATGCTTCTTTTCCCCAATGTAGAGGAGACCACATTGTGAGCAGCAAATGCAGTAGATTGAGTGAAGTCGTCTGAGAAATCAAGTGCAGAGGTTTCCCACTTTATAAATTTAACTCCTGCCCTCTCCCCAGGTATTGTTGAAAATTGAGTATAACATAATGCATTATATATAGAGTGGGAAGTATTTAGGGTCATTGTACTCTGTCTAGAGAAGTTCATATTTATTAGTACCAGGTTTCCCAATATACACTGCCTGGCAAATGAGAAGAGTACAGTTCAATAGTGAAGCCCATGTTGAAGGATTAACAGATGTGAATTTAGAGGTTGAATGATATCAGAGGTTCACCCAGCTTTGAATTAGACCGAGAATTGTAAGGTTAAATCCTCTGTGAGCCCCAAATGATATGAATCAGCTCAATCCAATTCGCAGAGAATTTGAAGCAGAGATATCCACAACTGTGATAAGAATTTTAAATGTGAATTAACAAGTCATAATGTTAGCTGGTGTGAATGGGAAGGAAAAGAAATCTAATTGCTGCAACCCTTCTTGGAAAAGGCACTTTGTTAGATTTGGAAGGAAACATTACAGTGTCTGGTCATTCAGTATCAGTCCATTGTGTGTTTGTTGAGAAAAGTGAAAAGATGCTGCAGTGTCCAATAATAAAATCTTTTACTTTGTTAAGAAGGCAAATTACTTAAAAAATGCAACAGTGATATTATTTTCCTTCTGGACTAATAGTCAAAGGTTGATTACTGAGAAACAGCACAAAGTAGATTACAAGACATGTTAAGTCACAGATTGTTAATGCTAAATTAGAACACTAGTGGTTTTATTAGCAACAATGCAAACTAAGAGGTGGCTTTGTTATATTTCTCAATAAAATGTTTTTTTTTCCCTTTCAGAGCTGTGAAATTATTGTGTATAGCCGTCCCTGGATCAATCATATGGATATTGCATACAATGGCTGCAGCATTTAGAACCAAGCAACAAATGTCCTAATCAACTAAGATTTGATTTCTTCTATACCCATGCTAACAATGTTATATTGTAAAGTTTCACATGTAGTTCCTATTGTATTCTTCTCCAGCTGACATGCAATGTTACTTATTCATGAGGCATTGGCAACTTGATTACAGTTACAAAAAATAAATAAGCTTTATGTAAGAATACGGTTTTCTTACTTGTCCTAAACATTGTCTATATCTTGCAGATTCTTTACACAACTACACAGCTTCTTTACCTGTGCACTTTGTGACACCAATGTCCTTTTATGTATTCACGAACTGTCACCATTTGACTGTTGTGCACAGAATTAAATTCAAGTTTTAATTTACAATTACTTACCTTTAAAAGATTTGGATCCCTGTAGTTGAGTGACTTTGTTTATCATAAACTTGAGAGCATGTCTTTGTTCAATGATATGGTATTGAGAAACTTTTCCAAGGGATCCATGGAGCTGTGGATATTGTCCCAGTGCCTCAAAAGGTGGGCTTCCAGCTCTACCACAAGAACCACCTTATGAATTCTGTCTAACCTATAGAGTCACACAGCATGGAAACTGACCCTTCGGTCTAACCAGTCCATGCCAACCTTAATCCCAATCTAAACTAGTCCCAGAAATAGTAGGAACTGCAGATGCTGGAGAATCTGAGATAACAAGGTGTAGAGCTGGATGAACACAGCAGGCCAAGCAGCATCAGAGGAGCAGGAAGGCTGACGTTTCGGGCCTAGACCCTTC